GTCTGGTGTTTGGGTGTTCTTGGAAGTAAAGATAGTACTAAGGTATGATGTGGAGTATTTCAATCCAAATAGTAATGATGATGATTATGATGATTAAAACCATCAAGAATATATATCCTCACCCCAAGTCATATTTGTGCTTGTTGGTATAATCAATCATCATCACAATTGTCCACTTTGTTTTCATCATCATCAACACCATGATCACTATTACCTGCAGCATTATCACCATCATCATTACCACCACCATCATCATTACCATCACAGTCATCGTCGCTATCATCATCACCATCATCATCACCACCACCATCATCATCACCATCATCATCATTACCATCACCGTCATCATCGCTATCATCATCACCATCATCATCACCACCACCATCATCATCACCATCATCATCATTACCATCACCGTCATCATCATCATCATCACCATCATCATCACCACCACCATCATCATCATCATCACCACCATCATCACTACCACCACCATCATCAACATCATTGCCATCATTGTCACAACCATCATGATCATGATAATCATCAACATCACCATCATCATCAGCATCATTATCATCATCACCATCATCATCACCATCATCATCATTATCATGACTTTAACCAACAACAAACTCCATGGATTGGCACCAATTTTACCTCTCATCACTATCAACTGGGATATCACTATTACTTTAACAAAGATATYTATGATTCAATAATCCTTTTTCTGATTCCACAGAACTTGTTACCATCTCATCTTACACACTCTCTTCCCAACATTTACAATCTCCTCCAAATCACCTCACTCACAGCACAAGACCTTATGGAATTCCTGGAAAAGAACGAACTACAACTGACTTTATTGGACAAAGCTTTGACCATGTCCAGAACCAGTGGGTTTCTCTGCACCTTAGTCCTGCAGAATGTTATGTCATACTTAATAAAGAAAGAGATTGATGTAGACTGTGGTKTAATACTGGCAACACTACAAGAATCTTTATCACTGGAGATGTCTGAATCAGTATTGCAGAGTATTACTACTGTGATACCATTTGCCGATAATATATATGATGTAAAAGTGATCACTGAAAATAACATTAGACTATTGGGACAGGAATTGCAAATACAAGGTAATATGACTGTATTTCCAGAAAATAAACCCCATTCATGTAAATTCAAAGCAGCTCAATCTGGGGGACAAAACAAAAGAATTACAATCTCCTGAGAATTGGAACCTATTGTAATGTCCCCCAAATTGAGCTACATTTCAAAATGCTGCAAGGTGTCTATATCATTCCCATAGAGGGTTTAAATGAATATAAAATGATAAATTAATAGGATTTAACAGTGGCATTTCCACAGAGTGGCTCTTCATCCACTGAAATTCCAATTGAAATTARGAAGATAATTTTTGTGGAGGGAGAAAAATCGGAATACCCGGAAAACCCTCAAAGCACAGGAGAGAACCAACAAACAACTCTACTCACATACAACACTGAGACCAGCGGGACTCAAACCCGGGTTGCATTGATGAGAGGTGAGCGCTCTCACTACTACACCACCCATGCTTCCCATTTTCCACTTCCCACTTCCCCACTTTGAGGAGGGTATATCTTATCATTAGAGTAATTTATCACTGTTGTGTATGTATTCTGTAGAGTTCGCAGCTGTGTTTTCAGTCCTTRCTGCCTGCCTGGAAAAATGGTCACTGTTGACAGACAAGAGAGAAGAAGCAGTAATGGAATATCAACTGACTTTTACAGAAGTACTTGATGGCATGCTGGAGTGGAAGAATAGGAATGATAGAATATTGCTACTTAATGCAAATATAAAAGATGCTACTATGGCAGAGGTACTGGATTTATCCATAGATAGGATCATCTATCCATCCATCCATCCAACCACCCATCCATTCAACCACCCCTCCATCCTCCCATGTACCCACCCACCCATCCAGCCATCCTCCCATGTACCCACACATCCATCCACCCATCCTCCCATGTACCCACCCATCCACTCACCCATCCTCCCATGTACCCACCCATCCACCCGCCCATCCATCATAGCTAGTATGCTCAGTGTTTTATTCATTTACTTTCAAGGTGACTGTGAATACTGCCATTATGAAGATAATTAGACTTGCCATCACAGATGTTGCAAAGTTATTGAGCTCAAATGTGTGGGATTTCATTCTGTGTGGATTGGCTGGATGGCTACAGGTACAAGAATAAGGTTCTCTAGATTTGGGTGGACTACTAATCATGTATCCACCTTCCCCATCCCACAGGGGAGGGGTTAGAGGGTTAAAAGGCTTAACAATATGCCTATTGTATATAATCCCTTACCTTCCGAAGGGGGAAGGAGACTAGAGAGATCAGGCTACTTGAGGGGGGAGGGGTAAGTGTGCCTATTGTATGTCCTTTCTTTTACCATGGGGAGAGGGGTTGAAGTTTTCATATGTGTATGGGTGTGGAAACTTGGCTACCTGAGGGGGGAGGGGTAAGAWAAGAATAGGGAGAATTTGGTGTCAGAATGGATGTTTTAATGCTGCCAGATAACATTGATAATATTCTAATGTTCATAGACTTGTGAAGAAAACCTGTCGACAGTCAGTASGTCACTATCAAGTACAATCCTGTGCAGCCAAACCTGCTCTCTTCACTCAAACGTGTCAGGGTTTTTTGAAACATTCCCAGACAAACCATCAAGTGAAGAGACCAAGGATCAAAATACAGAGACAACGGCAGCTGAGGGTGATGAWATGACACCTGATGGGGAGTTTCCYGCTGATCTGTTCAGCGAATGGAAGGAATTCTTCAGTGTCAATCTGCACAGCACTGTCCTTTCTTYGTTCTTTACCATGGCAGGTACAATGAAACGCTTCAGCATGAAACCATTGTAAAATGCCGAATGGATAATAATTGGCTCATCAATTGGCTCATCAAACAAAGCTTAGTGTAACATCCATGTAATTTTTTGGCTGGTACATTAAAACAATGACAACAATGTTTRTGAACATCTACTGTATAAGTACCTGGTTGGATACCACTAGCTATGGCTGTCCTTGGATCTTTGCGGGTGGGGCAGGGGAAGTGTAAACTTTTTAGCCCCTACCCCTCCCTCCGTCATATTTTGAAATTACAACAATAATGATAAGACTCAATATGACTCAACAACAATAAGAGTCGTCCTGTTGTCGTCTTTGATACTCTGCTTTGCACTCCCAAWTGAAAATCAGTTTTCAAACTTGTCAAAGAAATCATTTATATTTCCTTTGTAGGGAAATACAATAATAGTAGTTTCCACATCACCCTACCTGTCATCAGAACATGTGAGAGCCTTGGCMAAGCTGTCATCAACACACCTATCAAGATATTACAAGAACACAAGTATGTGTTACCAGCTGGCTCTTCTGAGGAGGATGATACATTGCCGCAGTGGGCTCAGGACMTGCTTTCTTGCTTGCTCCCTTTGTTAGAATGTGAGGTACTTTCTTTACAGATTGCAGCTTATAAACTGTTGGCAAAGTAAGTTGTGCATATTAAGCCTCTTTTTTTTGTGTTCATTAGTAATTTCACTTCTTTCTCTTTCATGTCCATTCTTTCCCCTCCACCCACCCATCCATCCATCCATTAAACCCTCCATCCAACCTTTCTATCCATCCCTCCATTCATCCCTCCCTCCCTCACTCCATTCATCCATCCATCCATCCCTCCCTTCCTTCCTCCATCCATCCATCCATCCATCCCTCCCTTCCTTCCTCCCTCCCTCTCTCCATCCCTCCATCCCTTCCTCCATCCATCCCTCCCTCCCTTCATCCATTCATCTTTCAATTTCCTTTTCCTAAAATTTAAATTTTGATGCAGTTTTTCTCATTCCTTCATTCTTGTAGTTAACATATTTTCTCATTTCTTTCCAGGATAATGCCAACCCTTCCTTCTTGTCACAAACATGAGTCAAGCAGCAAAGAAGAGCAAAATGAAATTGAAAGGTAAACTTTGACGGAAAAGTAAAACTCACTCAACAAGCACCGATAGGAATGCCATTGTTTTCTATATAATGTGCTTCTCCAGATAATTTTATCCCATTTTCTTACCATGCGGATACTCCAASTGGGACCACTTTGATAAACWAGTWTCATTAACCAATCATRKTGCAAYATTTAGTTCAATATTTTTAACSAGCCAATYAGATAGCGCATYGATATAATAATAAGAGCGTGAGAAYGTGATAATCTGATTGGCTAACGCTGTTATCAGTTCAATTTCTGTCTAGTTTACTGTTATCTGACTGGTCAGTTTTATTCAAGTGTTCCYGGTTAGTGTGWTTACACAGTAATCCTAKCATGCTATATACCTSTACACAGCACACATGATTCTATTTCTTCAATACTGTTCTCCAGGTCTCCACCATCACAGTTAATGAACACCATYAACACCAGCTTATCACACCTGGATACAATCATGAAGGACGCCGCTGTACCTTTTGGTGGTCAGCTGTGCTTAGCAACCGACATAGAAGCTCGGCGAATAAGCCTTACATTACTTCTGTCCTCAAGACTCCTCATCCTGTTCTTCAAAAGTGCAAGCTTTGAAAACAGATCAGAATACGCTGTTTACTTAAGAAAAACAAAGCTCATTGACAGTCTTATGAGCACGCTTTATCGCTTGATGCCTCTGGACTGTAAGACTGTAGTCACCGATGACTATGATGTATCAGTTGATGATTGTGTTACAGAGAGTTTGGTGCAGGATCTTGGGAGGTGTGTGTATTATAGTGTATTGCACTGGATGCCTGCGATGGTGCGGCAGTGGTTTAATGCCTTGGAAAAGAAATATGCTACTGTAGTAGACAGGTAAAAATTCACCTTTTTACTTTAAAAAATACTACAGCTTTTTTAGAAAAAAGGTGGTGAAGGTTTTGTTGCATGACGTTGCATACCAAGTATCAGTGCTGAAGCTTATAAACCCATACCTTATCATCCCAGACTCTCACTTCCTCTTTCTCTTYCCTTCCCTAGGTACACATCATCAGCTGTCACACCGTCACTATGCCAACGGGAAATGCAACAAGTAAAAAATTCATCAGTCCAGTTCACTAACATGCAAGTCAAGACWCGCCCTGTGGCAGGTGAGGTGGCGGCAGTCTACACCATAGACGAGATCTCCATGGAACTTGTCGTCAAAATTCCTAATAATCACCCCTTGGGGGTGGTGAYGGTCGACAGCGGGAAGAAAGTTGGAGTGACTAATTCACAATGGAGGAGTTGGATACTACAGATGACGACGTTTCTTACTCATCAGGTATATATAAAAATATAATCATGAATAATAAGCGACACGGTCAACATGACCTTGTGGTAAGAAAGCCATTAAAATGAGCTGCCTTGTCAGAAATGGAAAAAGCACCTCAATATGACTTAGGAGGCAGAGCTTTCAGCTCATAATTTTATTCTTATTCTTATTCTTATTCTTATTCTTATTCTTATTCTTATTCTTATTCTTATTCTTATTCTTATTCTTATTCTTATTCTTATTCTTAT